TGGTTTTTTTCCTTAATTGAACCAAGTTATTGATGCATATGAAAAGTAGCGCCCATTCCGAGGGAGCTCCGCCCACAGCGGACGGATCGCCTTCGCCTGATTTGTTGATTCTTTTCGACCTTCTGGACCTTTTCGAAGCAAAAATAAGATGATTGACTGTTGGCACCGCCCACTCCGGCGATTGCCCCGCCTCCAATGGGCGGAGCTCCGCAGAGCTCATATGAGCCCCGTCAATCTTGTCTCGAGCTCCACCCATTCCAAACTTGTCCCGGCCTCTAAAGGTGTTTTTCAGGTAATGTTGAATTTCCCGTTGGACATACAAACATACATACATACATACATACATACATACACACCAAACTTGTGGATTATATATAGTAAGGATATATGTATAGTATAGATATTGCTCTCTGTGCTCACGTCTACATCAACATCTTCCTAATCTTCCACTTTTTTATCTGATCTATCCAACACAGTTCGATACGCACTGTGAGATTGGCAAATGTAGTTGTTGTCTATATTATGATCCTTTCAATAGCGCTTTTTCCAAGTGAACTTCAAATGTTGAGGGCTAGGAGATCACCTATCTTGCACATCTTAAAATTTTTTTGTCATGTTTCTCTTTAGGAAAGTGATTATATGGGCAGAAAACAATGGGCGTTGGCAGAAATCGCATGAATGGATAGGTCATGAAGCCAGTGTCAACTCCGTTGCGTTCGCTCCTCATCAAGTGGGCCTCCTCCTTGCAACTGCATCAGCAGACTCTTCGATAGGCATACTCGAATTTAACCCTCAAAGTGCTCAATGGGTGGAGTCGAAAATTATCAAGGCTCATGACCAGGTGAACGTCGTGTAAGGTAAAATCCAAACTGACTTTTAGCTAGCCTTTATTAAAGGGAGTCAATGCCGTATCATGGTGTCCTGTTCAACGAGTGCGTGATGACGGTGGTGAACAGCCTTGTCGAAAAAGACTGGCTTCTTGTGGCAACGACAAGCTCGTCAAAATCTGGGTGTTGGTGCATATCAATATCGTTCTTGTGCATATCTATCAGTTTTACTTCTTGACCATGATCTGTTTATACTACCATTTCAGTGTGGACGAGAAGGGTGAGTGGACCGTAGAAAAATCGTTAGCGGGTCACTCCGATTTTGTACGAGATGTGGCGTGGTGCCCAGTCGTCAATCATTCAACATACACAATTGCCAGCTGTGGATTGGTATTTATTTACTGCATAGTTTTTGATTTTTAGTATTATGAGAGTACATATACAGTAGTATACACCCACTAGCTGACCGCCGCACACTTTTCTGAATATTTGTAAAACTACCAATAGTAACCCGAATTCATTGTTAACGTAGTAAAGTGAAAATTTTTAAATCAAAGCATCATCGTAGCACCGCGCGATTTTTCTCGCTTGTCGGATAGTTCAGGAATGTCGCAAATCTACCCACCCCCACGTGGTCCGCGGACAGGACAAATCCCAAATCTGAGAAGAGCCTATTGGTTCGTGAGTAACGCAAGCGAGGCCTCAAGGCTCATATTCGCATTCGCTACACGCATCCCAAAATCAAACCATTCAAAAGCTTGTTCTTTCTCCATCATATTTTCGTCTTTCGGTCTGAACTTCGGCCTGGGTCCCATTACTTCTTACTTTGTTTGAATCCGCCCATCTATTCTCATAACCCCCATGTCACGAACATCCGATTTTGCTTTTTTCTCTAGGGTTCATTTTTTATTGTGACCCCCTAAACTTCGCTAACGAGCACCTCCTAGTCGAGAGGATCGCCTGTATATCATAGGCGGAGTTCAGCTTAGTTCACGCTTACTTGGTATAACTTGAAACTTACTTTCTTCTGCCTCCTTTCTGAGCCTTAGTTGCCTTCGGACTTGATTGCGTATTTTTGTAGTGAACCCTGCTCCCCAAGAGAATGTGTCGCCCACCCCTCATGATCGTCTTGGTCTCATCCTCACAACTTAGCTCTGCCCATTTTTTTCTTGGTTTGTGAGCTTTTCCGAATGAGAAATATTGCCATATGCATAGCCTTTTTTGGTGCATTCAATAAATGGAGTTCCGCTAAACCGCATGTGTAAGATTCCTCACTCATCCTGACCTTCCGAGGTAGGTCTTGAGGCTGTACTGAAGCTCATGACAGACAGACCCATAATGCGACGTAGCTTTAATATTTTTAATGATATTTGTCTACTGTTTTTACATATTTTTTCTGTTTCATGACCAAGCGGTGATTCTATGGAGATGCAACGAGAATGGAGAGTGGAATGCGAAACTATTGGAAAGGGTTAGTCACCTTCTCTTTTTCATTGTGGTACACACGGAGGGGAGGCAATAGAACCCCTTGCCCGTCATTTCATCGTATGCTTCATTTCGCTCTTTGCGTCACTCGTACGTTTGGACGTGTGCGGCAGAACACGGCTTAAGGGCTATCCAAGGGAGCCATTTTAACGGGAGCGATTTTCCAGATGACCCCTTTTTCGCTGCCGCGTGTAGAATCGACGGGGAGGAAAATCGACTGAGTATTCCTCATTGTCAGGTCAAGAATCAGTAGCCCTGGACGATTATGTGGTTGATCTTTCAACATGGAATAGAAAAGAGCGAGCTTGTCTAGGAAGAGAGATGAATCCGCTGAGCTAGTGTTGTTAGGCACTACATAGAGCGAGATTGTTATGCAGCTTATGTTCCCTCTTATACCCATCCTTCTAAGAGAGTCGCTCTCCATTATTTTCTCAGTAAGTGCTATCGTAGAGTTCAACGCCACATGATCACTGGGGGCTCCTGTTTTCTTTTTTTTTTCATGCGAAATCCTCTATAAAATTACAGATCTAACAATACCTGCCTGACATCCCGCAACAGAAAAAGTCCGTTAAAATTTTCGCGTTTGTTGAATACCTATCATTGAGATGCCCCTCCCTAGTCTCCCTCAGCGCGCATCGCCAGCGGTGCTGTATATTTAAGAATAAAGGGTCCTTACATGATTGCCGTAGCCGGTCGCCGTGAAAGAATTGCCTGGATGACCAGCAATGGTACTTATCGCCTTACACTTCACGTTAAGTGTATGATACCCTTTTTCATCTTCTCTGTTTTTCTATTTGTTTGATTTTCTTTTTGAGAACTGAGAGAAAACAAATACAAAACAAATTAACAAACAAAAACAACAAAGATAATAGAGAGAACATAACATCTTATCCGTTCTTTCCTGTGGAAATTTTTCTTTGAAACAACCATACCTTCAAACCAGTTGGCTTCCACGTTTGTGGAGGTGATTTGTCGTGACGCTAATGATATTTCCGGCCATACATCAATCCTATCTACTGAATTTCAGTACGTACATTGATCCTTCCCTAATAATAACTTGTAAATCATTTATTCTTTTCATTTATTTGGTGCCCAGCTATTTGATGGTTTCATAGCCACATCGAAACCGTTAATCTTTGCTCAGTGAGCGCGTTTGTTTCTTTGCCATAGGACGCCTCATGAAATCGAATTACTTGACTAAAACCGTCCAAGGCTAGTTTTTCTTTGTCATGACTAATGTAGGAATGTTTTGATTTGTAGTATACTCGAGGTTTTACATTATTATCGATGCTTTTTTTTNTTTTTTTTGTGATTTCAGACCCAAGATGCATTATGGCACGTAAGTTGGTCGGTCTGCGGTACAATTCTGTCTGTCAGTGGAGAAGATAACAAGGTAAGTTCCTGAAATAACGATAAGTTCAAAATGTTACCAGCAGTGCTTAGTTTCTCAAAACTGTCGTCGTATTATTAGATTATTTGAAAAGTTACCCGATTGTGAAATTCAGCAGTTAGGGGGACGGATATGAGGTTCAAGATTAATTAAATCAATTTTTGACCCCCTGCGATATAAGGGTACCAGTTTAAGAAATGCGCCAAAAAGAGTTCGAGTATGTTGACTGTATTGGGAGGGAGTGCGCAGTGCAGAGTCCACGTCTTATGTTTCAGATCGTTTTGTGGAGGGAAAACCTTCAAGGACAGTGGCAGAAAATGGATGACTCGAACGGAAAACAAAAATATTGAACTATTTATTGTTTTTGTTATGCGAATCAACGACATAATCACTTTGTTTTGTTCGGTGGTTTGGACGTAAAACTGATCTGTGATGAAATGGAAACCTGAGGATGAACTATTTCAATTTGTACATGAGTTCAACTCGTAAACCTTTCTGATAATCTCCAATTCTACTCTTTGTAGTCTTTGCTCAGTCATCGACTTATTAAGGGCTTCATACCAATCGCGACAATGTGGAACGTCAACATCCATGCCTTTCAATACCAATGAGATAACGGCGATAACAAGGGAATGGGATGAGTGGGACAAGACAAAATCCGGCACAGAGTAGCAGTCTCTGAGCATTGTGTTGCAGGAGTCAATGATGGGTTTATCAGAAAATTCTTTTGGCATCCACGAACGCAGTGTGTCTAGATATGCTGCTAATAACTGAAAAATGGAACTTTTTTTTTCTCGAAAGGTTGAGATGTGGAACGTACAAGAAGTGGCCTACTGACATCGAAGGGATGCCCGAAACTTAGATCGAAGTTAAGTTCGCGGAGCACAACAAATGTCAGTTCCGATATGCCTCTTCTCAATTCGTACATGTGGTCGTTAAGCTTTGCTGGATCGCCTTCCGGATGCAGTATTCTGAAGAGTGAACGTCTTACGTAGAAAATATAGCAGAGCTGTAAAAAAACTGACCGATGACTCGCATTTATGACATCACGAACTCCTATATCACGATCTTCTTCGTACTTTGCCGCCAACACTAAGCATGTAGTTGCGAGGGTCTGTAATTGCATAGCCCATCGTCATCTCTACTGAAGTGAAGCATTTTCCGCAGACTATCACGCAAGCCACCATCTATTACAGTCGAAATTACATAGTGAATTTAATCGAATGGTGCTCCGCTATATAAAATTTATCCGCAAGTCTATGTGCACGAATCAGATAGAAGATGAGATACGGTAAGTGACTGAACAGATAGTATAGCGAATATTAAGGCAAAAGTATGGGATTCCTTAAACGTAACGCGACAGCTTTATGAAATGGTTCATCGTCTTTATGCATGTGGTAGAGGCAGAGTTGGAAAGGCGTTTAAACATTGCTCTATGACGGAACACTATTAATTATCGTAATCCTCGATGCCACTATCGTCCAACTGGTCAAATCGTGGAATTTAAAATAAAAGTAGGAAATAAGTCACAGTGAACCTCTCAGCTTTCTTGAACGTGCATTATATGATCACAAACTTGTTTTCTTTATGGTCTGGCCAAGTGCAGTTAAGCCCACACCACCACTCTTCAACACTATTTCTCTTTCCAGGCACTTTACCCCTCCGCTGTCGCGCATCCATTATTTGGACGTAGTTGAGCTATTATTCACTTCATATCTATCTACTGCGTCTCTCCTTCCCTACGTTACGGAACGAGACTGCACGGCTCACCACTTATCGGTACACGGGGCTTTCCAACGCTCTGAACTTTGCTAATCACAGATTTTGACAGCCTGCCCCACCGCCCGCTTTGTCTGTTCTACAGTTATCAACCTTTGAAGTGAGGGGAACAATTCCCTGAATCCCCCAACATGGAGTTGTCGAGGAATCCGTTGAAGTAGAAGGAATCCGGTACCCGAAAGACTCTCTTTCGGAAGTGCAATGGAAACGTATTCCTGTCTGTAGGAAGACGATGGAAATATTATACGAAAAAAGTAACTCACGTAGTTGCATACTACTGTACCGATTTCTCGTTGTAGGAGACGGTGCATCATCATAATACCACAGCAGACTGTTCGATTCTTTGCTCTAATTCTAATACCTGTATTACACTGAATAAGTAACTAGTAATATAATCGATGCGAAAGAAAGAAAAACCCTACCACATCGAAGCATGTGCCTGTATATTTGTTTAGGCTCCGGATTATCTAATGTGTCGTCGCCCATTGTAGTAGTATAAAAGCTGTGGTAAATTGAAGAAAACTGTTACTACTTCTACGAGCACTTCAACTCCCACATGGATAGAGGCAACTTTTCTGAAAGGGAATAATTTATCAACCTGGCTCAATTCTAAACAAAAAAACAATAGGAAACCGTGCACATACACAATTCAACCACAAAAATGCTCGAAGAGCATGGGTATGGGTACGTATGTGCGCGCGGCGAAGTGCGTGGNGATTCGAATGACTCTGGCGCCTACAACTGGGGCCAAAATTTGAAGTACAGTAGATAAGTAGGGTCAACTGATACTACTAATCTGCTCTACTTCAAATTTGGACCCCAAAGATAGGCGCCCGAGTCGTTCGAATCACTTCACACCTCGCCGCGCGCATCCTCGGACGCACGTAAGTTCCGTCCCTCGAATAGCATCATTAGGTGCTTCCAAACTTCAACGACGCAACCGACGACCGTCCGTCCGTGCGTGCGTCCGATCGACAGCGGCGCTTGGCACTTGTTGACAACACTGACACATGATCCATCGGCGTCCAGTGTTGTCATCATATAGCCAGTAACACCGTCGGTCGGTTGGGCGGTTGGACGCACGCACTGGCGGACGCTCGTCGGTTGCGTTGTAGAAGTCTGAAAGCAGCCATTTAGAAAAGCTGCTCGAGGGGTCAGTTGAGCACTCGAACCGGATTCCAACTTTAATGGAAAAACTTGGTGTATTCTACCCCTCACTTTCAGTAACACCAATATAAAGTACAAATATAGACCCAAGGCGGCTTGCCCCACATGATGAAAGTTTGGAGAGGCTCAAAAAATGATAGAAAATGAAGGTGGAGTGGGGTCTTCGATGCTGGTGCGAATTTATTGACCATTGTTGCAGAAGGTACATATGAGAACATTTTTCACAGTCATGGCTGAAAACCAGGTGCCCCTAATATAGTTTCTAACCTAAAAAAACGATTTGCAAGAATAAAGTAATTGAAGCTTCCATAACTATTTGCAAGAAATACAAAGATGTATTATATTAAGATTCATGAAATCCGGCAGAAAATACACGTCTCTTATCAGTACAAAATTAAAATGGTTCTATTATAAGACAGTCTTATCAACTGCGCCCAGGCCTCGATAACTGAGGGGGAAAATGAAGACCCGTGAACTACACATAAAACAACTATAGAAGAAATTTCGCATAACCTTGGAGATCACATAACAGGTTACATAAGTGGATTTCCTAAAACAATATATTCAATTTACATTCGACGATAACCATAAAGATGAGTACGCCTATTACAACGATGACTGTTGAATCGAAGAGAAATGAAATCGTTATTTCGTATCGTTACAATTAAGATGTTTGTTGACTGCAATGTAGAGAATTTCAGTATGTTGTAGTATAAATTCTGCTACCACAGAAGAAAAAAAGGCAAGGCATACATTGATGGGGAAAAAAGAAAAGTGGAATAAAGCACATCTAGGCAGTTATCAAGTGAAGAACATCGTTTGATTCTGGCGAGTAGAAATCGAGTGTACGCATGGGATTTTCCAGTTTCACCTTATGAGTGCCTTTGTCGAGCTCCAACTTCACCTCCATCAAGCCCACGGAAAATACTCGCCCTACCTGAAATGGTAATTCTTTGTTTCTGACCAATATTGTATATGTACATTTGCATAACCACTTTTGTCGTGAAAGGTGTGTGCCACAAGATTCTTGTGTGAAGCGCTAGCGCTCTATTGAGGGAGCAGAGAACATGTTCGCGTATTCATGGCTTCGCCTACTCGAAGTGGATCATTGAACCCTTACTACTCGATACAAACTTGCACGGCAACTCTCCGGTTCTTCGTTCTTCTTTCTTATAAGGTCGATGCGCAAGTGCTGAGAAACAAGTTTACATACGTTATCGTTCCGCTGAACGAACCTTTGTCACCTTCAGACCATCACCACATTCCGGAACGATCTCAATATTACCACTAGTAATGCTTAAATAGGTCCCGGGGTGCTCCTCTAAACCACGTCGCGATCGTCAAGAGATCGATCGATCACTCAAACGTCTTTTACGGATGGCGCTGTCGCTCCACTGCTCGTTTCGCTAACTACGACATCAACACTGCATTCGAGGAGGAACTTGCATTCTGAAGGAACGGCGTCCAACCACGATACTCGTTCAGACGGCAAGTTCTCATCGATGATGACCGATTACTCATTGAAGTGAAGAAGAGGGCCCAGACTACGAATGAAAAATTGGTGGAGCTTTCGGAGCATCGGAGCAACGTCGTTCAACAACTTCAAGAACATGATTGCACGAAAATTTTGCTAGATAATTCTGCACCAACTGATCGAAGATCTCAGTCACTTGCGTGTCTCAGACAGCCAGTAGACAGCCCTCATCTCTAACTGGAAAAAGTTCCTGTAGGATCTGGTGAGAAAACATGAAAGCTGGGTCCTCTATGACAACTACGAGAAGGTCGATGTCTGTCCTCTGATACAAGTGGCTCCGCTCGTGCAGTCCAAGCCAGAACAGCATATTAGGAAGGTTCCACTATACACCTCCTAGGGTTCGAAGGAAACGTCATATCACGAGTTGCTCCCTCATGACCATACAGTCACAGCGACCATTTGCAGCTGTCGGCTCCACAAACTCGAACTCCGTTCCACACCCTCACTATTGCCCAGGCCTAGCCCCCTAGTTACTGATACCTTTATAGGCACTTCAAACGGTTCAGGGAGAGAAGTTTATAAATTTCGGTGACATCGAAAATACTGTGGTCAACTTCTTGAGTCATAGTCCTTTTTCTGGGAGAATCGACCCCTCGTTGGAAAAATGTCACAGATATTAGAGGTGACTAAATAATTGAATAAATCAGAATTTGAGTGAGTTTGTGAAAGAATTCGTAACGTGCAATTGAGTGCCTCAAGACTGCCCCATCAACTTACTACTGCCCCATCGAAAGGTGCGTTATGAATTGGCCAGAGACAGAGCTGATATTTCGACTAGTTTTCAACAAGAGAATATCAAACAGGAACCGACCATTTCTGATAACTTCTGCACGGTTATTGCCAGAGGCACCCGCTTCTTGACAACTTTCCCCTCGAAAGAGATTGAGAGTAGCACTACATCCAGTCCGCGGCTTTTTAAGGATACATCGGCTGTACCATGAATCTATAACTTTCGACCTGAGTTTGATTGTTGACTGAGGAAGAAAAACTGAAACTGAGTTGGTGCCTACTAACCTTTTTGAGCCTCTCTATATCGTCCACGTGATCTTCTTTAACAGTGTCGTCAGCGGAAAAGTATTTATCCAAAAAACGAACTTCTGCTGATTGTCTTTCAACTGCGCTCACATCAAAACGGTTCAAATCCACCAAGCCACTTAACTTTGCCACTATAACCTGAAAATGAAAAGACAAACTCATTTGAAGTTTCGCACTGCTTGCAACCACCGCATGTTCACTTAGCTAGTGTGTAAAAACTACAAAGATATTCTAATTGTACGCATGCTTGATAACCCTTATGACTTCCTTCGAGTAAAAGCGATGCCTTTTTCTCAAATAATAGATTCAAGATTAATTCCGTCAAACTAAGGAAATTTCGACTACGCTCGGCAAAAAACTTTAAACCGGCTTCGGTTGCTGCTACATCATGAGAAGAGGACATCAAAAAAGAAGGCCTCCACGAAGACTTCAACATTTGTCTTGAAGACTTGACAAGAAGATTCATTCCAAAGCGACTACTATTAACACTCGAGAGGCGCCAAATCCGAAGCATTTGCAAATGCAAATAATTCATCATCCAGCAGACAGCATTTTGAAAAGCACGACCCACTAGTATTCTCAGATAAGGTAATGAATTACTGGTCGAAAAATGTTCCAAGGAAAAACTCTGGCTGCAGTAGTAGCATTAACTCACTTTCCAAGGGTTCAGCGGCAATGACTAGATTAGGAGCTCAAAAAGCAAAGCTTGCACTTGCAAAAAACCACTTATCAGTACACTCTATAATTTAGGCATAGATCATGAACAGCGCGACTAACGGACTTCACATCAAGAATGAGTTTCGCATGTAATGCAGGAGCAAAAAAGTGCCAAGAACTAAAGAACAAGTAAACGACTCTATAATGAGCACCTCGTGAACTTCGATTCCTGGAACACAGCGTAAGTGTTCACAGTCGATATAAAGAACGGAAAGCTTCGGAAGTGCTTGCAGGCCATTTATAGATCGCCACTGAAAGCAGAATAAGTTTAGCACAGACACTGATACAGTAGATCAACACTGTTGAGCATTTAAAAAACTCACATCACTAATCACATTATCCTTGATGTTTAGAGTAGTCAATGAAGGAAACTGGCCATCTGCTATAACAATCCGTTGAATGCCGCAGTCAGCAACACACAACTTTTGCAAACTGCAACAAAGTATTGCAGCTATTGGGATGTTCAATGATATTTATTACTATTTGAACACTACACAGGATAGGCATCCTACTTACTATAAAGCGCTTCGTCTGTCTGTCTGTCTGTCTGTCTGTCTGTCTGTCTGTCTGTCTGTCTGTCTGTCTGTCTGTCTGTCTG